CGCCCCTTACCTGGACCCTTCCTTCCTGACCACTGCCGTTCCCCGCACGAACCCGCAGCACGACGAGGACACCAGATCCCCCGTTTTATTTTGGACACTTGATTCCTCTTTTTCCTGGACACTTTGTTTATATTTTGTTATTAAAAGCCTATCCGAGGCCTGACGCCACACCCACTGTCCCGCCACAATAGTAAAGCTAGTGCTCCATTCCTAATATCTTTAATTCCTCAACTTCCAGTTTGGTAAATACATCTTTATCAGGCAGGGACTTCATTTTAATTTTCAGCAGTTCAATTTGCACTTTGCTATGATCACAGTAATTTGCTTCTTACATGTCCTCTTCAAACAGTCTCGGCATTAATATTCAGCCGCTCCTGATCTCAGAGGGTGATTAGCATTGGCTCATCGTCAGGGAATGACTTCAGGATATTTGTTCAGGATTTTTAATTAGCTTTTATGAATCTTAAAAGCTTTGTGTGGGGGGAGGAATGGAACTGTGGCTCGGTCATGAATTAAACATGTAACGCCACCGTAAACATTTCAGTACACGAACTATCAACACAAATGTCAAGCAGGACATCAGCACAGCAATCAAACAAAAGAATCAACATTAAAAGGACACCCAAAGAAAAAAAATGAAAATAGATCCACCTAAATCTGACTTTAAAGGGGACATCGAATGCCCATTTTCCACAAGTTGGTATGATTCTTTAGGGTCTTCATGAAATGTCTGCAACCATACTTTGGTTAAAATTTCTCAATGGTAGTGTAGAACAACATCCTTTTTACCTTGTCAAAAACACAGCGACCCGTTTCGGTTCATGCCTCTTGAAATGCTAATGGGCTCTGCTGACCCCGCCCCTCTCTTCCATGGAAGAGGAAAGTCAATTTGCAAATAACCACAAGAAATATAAAGTGTGGGACTTACTTCTTCTGACTTTTCTTACTTCTTCTGACTTCATACTTTTTATAACTAGTAAAACTAACGTATATAAACATCTGAAGTCTATGCAATGTCCTCATTTAGCTAAGAAAGTGTGCGTGTTTAACCTCTTTGTCCATGCTCTCCAGGTCTTCTTTGCAGAGTGTGTAGAGCGGCATGGTTTCAGACATGCTGGGCTGTCGTTTCCTGCGGGAAGGTCCTGGCTGCTCATCATCAGGACTCGATCCTGCAGCCTCATCCGTCTGCTGAGACCCCTGAGCTGACCTGAACAAACACAGAAACAATCAATCGCTCAACATGCACACTCCAGATCAGCGGCTGCTGTAATCAGTCACCGGCTGAAATATGTTTATCAAGCAAAACTGGCTGAGTTTGCTCTGACAGAACACCAAAGCAGGACAGCGGCTCCCCCGGTCTGAGCAACACCTAAAAACCAATCGAGAGCAAATCAAACACATACACACACAGCTCAAGCCTGTCCACAGCAGACAGCAAACATTCAATCACATCTCCACTTCCTTCAGAGGAGCCACAACATGGAGATAGATGGTCAGTGCAGACAGCGTCTGAACCGATTAACCTCACTACATGTGAGCAGGGCTCCAAACAAAAAAATAGAGTAAGGAGCCATTGGCTCCTATAAGAAAAAAACTTAGGCGCCAAATTATTTTTTAGGTGCCACAGAATAAAAGTGTTTTATTTTTTTTACATTTTAACATTTCAATCATACCAATCAATGTGTTTATGTCTCATCTTTTCTTGACTTTATCAGCATTTTAATCCATCTTGTAGAGGACCTGGGAACTAAGGTTCACATAAAGTGGGAACTAAATGTCTTTTCCAACTTGAAATTTACAGTCACGCATTGTTTATTACACAGAATCTGTACCAATATCATGGACCATAAGCATCACTTGGCCACTGAGTGTAGTTTGGGCTCCTCCTCAATGCATCCTGTAAATGTTGTCATACACTCTTAAAAATAAAGGTGCTTCACGATGCCATAGAAGAACCTTTTTTGTCTAAATGGTTTCATAAAGAACCTTTAACATCTGAAGAACCTTTACATTTCACAAAAGGTTCTTTGTGGCGAAAGAAGGTTCTTCAGATTATAAAAAGTTGAGAAAGAGATGGTTCTTTAAAGAACCTTTGACTTTGTTCTTTGTGGAACCAAAAATGCTTCTTCTATGGCATCGCTGTGAAGAACCTTTT